GAGAAACGGTGGGTGGGGGGGGAAGACAGTGGTGGAGAGCGGTGAGCCGGCGGTGGGACAAGCCCCGCCGGGCAGCGTGCTTAAAGCCAGGGAGGTGCTGGAGGAAGCCAGGGTCCTGTCCCCGTGCCCAGCTGTAGGAACCTGACTGCTATTGCCTTGACTCAAAACCCCTTCGGCTGTCAAAGGGGGGACGGAGGCAGCTCATGACTCACTGGAAGAGGTTACTGAGACCGAGCTGCTCCCACGGGCACCACGGGACCCTCCCTCTCACTGCAGGACCCCGACAGCTGCCCCGATGGAACGATGTCCCAGCGAAGAGCAAACATGGCCCAGGTGTGATGTGTCCCTCTCTGCTCAAACGAGTCCAGTACCTCTGAGGGAAGAGATTTTTGGGTTCCTGTTTCTCTCCTGGTTACTCTCTCCTGCTCCACACTTCCCAGACCTGGTCTCGCTACCCAGAAGCGGTGTACCCTGTCCTGCACTGCGTGCTTCACCCTCTTCAGGTGAAAAGGCCACTGCTAAGGACGACAGACCAGCTGAGGACATCTCTCAGGGTGGCAAGTCCTCTCAGCACAGGCTCCATCTTGCACAGTTGAGTACTGAATTTGTCAGCAATGCTGCACAGAGTAGCATCAGCCATGATCATGCCCATGCCGTTCCTCCCCGAGGATACAACTAATCAAAAAGGGATTAACTGTCCAGGTTCAGAAAAGTTCAGGGGGATCTTTGCCAGGGTGCTCCCACCACAGCACCCTCAGAGATGCCCACAGGCCCTCTGCCCAGACAAGCTCACCTTGCCTACAGCTCTTCTCACCCATGTCAGCTCCTTAACGAGGGAAGCCTCCCTGCTCAGGGCATTACCAAGAAGCAAAGAGCTGACCGGGGTGGGGAGTAGCAATGCCAGCAGGAAGCCATGGGGCTGGCTGCAGGAGAGAGCAGCAGGGAGCGGTGTGAGGAGCCAGCCCCGGTGACCAGGCTGCCAGGGCTGCACAGGCGGGGTCTG